ACAAATGGGCTTGGTTCGCACACAAATCACCCCACACAACCAATCTCATGAAAAGTGGCTAGCTATAATATTCCTTTCGTGGTGATGTGGTTGTAAAAGAATTGTGTAACCGCACCCATGATGCATTGCGGTATGTTTGATAAGGTGATGATTTAGGCGATAATAATTAGCCCGATAAATTAATCTACAAGATAAGAAAGCGATATCTACGTTTACTATGAAATGTATCTATCTTTTCCGAAGTCCTGTAAGGGGACATTACTTCAGATTCCAATAAGAAGGAAATGGTAATCAGCATTCTTTATATTATTGTGTCAGATATTTCCCTAGCACCGCCTTCTAAATATTCATGCAATTAAAAAACAGTCTGACTTAGTTACAGGTTTTCCGTCTCCGTGACTCCTCCCGTTGCCGGGTATCGCCTCACCAAGGAACGTCAGTGTCTGAAGTATACCGATGGTCCTTATCGAGAGGGTGTTCTTGATAGACAGGTTGTCGTTTAAGAATTAACTTTAACTATCTTTCTTTTTTATGAAATCAAAACACAAAAAATGGAGTGTACTTTTTATGCCAAGAGTACACTCCGTTTTTTTCTTTGTTTTTTTTTTGTTTTGTTTTGTTTTTTGTTTTTGTTTTATGTTCTTTTTGTTTTTTTGTTTGTTTTTTTGTTTTTGTTTTTATTATGATCAAAAACGTGAAAATAATCAAATGCTAATCCTTATAATTCAATCATAGTTTGAAATCTCTCTCTCTCTCTCTCTCTCTCTCTCTCTCTCTCTCTCTCTCTCTCTCTCTCTCTCTCTCTCTCTCTTTGACAATTCGTTAAACTATCATATTGGCCAATCAAACGTGACATCAATATGTGTTATTTTATGGAGAGATGACATAGAATTGGCCGATACAAGTTCAAACAAAAAGATTCAAATGAATGGAATTGGCATGGTGTTTACAATTGTAAGTCTATGAAACTTGTTTTGAAAAAATCCTTATCATATTTCAACCCAGAGAATTAACACTGTCCCCAAAAACCTTCCAATCATTATTTGAAGTGTATTAAACCAAATTTAACTCACGTTATGTTAACCAAATGTAATTATATGACATATTAAAAAGAACTTTTCCATGAAAAAGATATTGTCATTGTAACATGCATATTTAGGTAAAGCTATAGAACAAAGATATATGAAAAATAGGAACCAAGTTTAAAAAAACAAACAAACAAACGATTAAAACCCAGCCAGAGACAACTTTTCCATTGTTATATAGCAGGTTTTTACCAACAAGTAAAAAAACTGTAAATTCTTGCACCGATTCCAATTTAAGCTGAACTCAGTTCACATCGAGATAAGAAGAAATCAATTTGCACGGGTTTTCCAGACATTTAAGGTCAATTTAGACAGGTTGAACATTGAATGTCTCCACTGTAGATAAACAAAGAATATGCATTGCCACTTCCTTATATGAAATACATGTCTATAAAAAATAAAATCCTTCTCGTTTTGACATGACCTGTAATACACCCCATGTGTTATCTCAGCCGGCATGTGTTAAATCGATTTTTAGATAAATGCACAGCATGCCGTACTGGCTGGTACACAATATTATACCTTATCACAAAAATAAAACGATGCCTTTCAGGTAGTGTATTTCATACCTGTGTCGAGGATTTTGTTCTGATATTTAATCAATGGTGTTTGGACGTTTAACCTTATCTTTAAACAAAGGCCTACAGTTTTTTTGTTGTTCTTTCTGAATAGAAATTCAATAAATAAATAAATAAATAAATAAATAAATAAATAAAAGATACTTCGCTTGAAAACTATTAAAAACAATATGCATAGTAAATACACCAGTGATGGAATATAGGCAGTCTGTATGAACTCGAATTTGTCATCTCAGTGTCGAGTTATCTACTTCAATCCTATTCACTAGGAAAAGGAGAAAGGCAGCTACATATTTGTCATGTTTCAATATTCTAATTGTTCCATTTGTCAAAATTTGGAAACCTATCCTTCCAGATCTTTAAACATAAGCATTTAAAAATAACGAATTTCCAGCCAAATGAAGTAGGGATCTATTTTGGGGAATGTAACAGTTTTGTTTAAAGAATATCATTTAGATTATGTAATTTCTTGTCCTCATATTTAAGGCACCTTAGTGTTTGAGAGACTTTCAAATTGACATTTGACAAAGAAAGCTTTTAGGTCATCTACACAATATTAATTTCATTGTGCGCTACGAAGCGTAATGGATGGTATTTGAAAACTGCCGGCGCCTGAGGCGATATCGCTGATGTTGAAACGAAGGCTAACATGTCCACACGTAACGTACAGTCAATAACACCTTACTTTGTGACGAAAAGCAATTATTTACTATTTGAAGTCTTGACGCCAGGAAAAATAGTGCTACCAATTTGGAAAATTCTTAGACGTCATAAAACTGCATTTTATATTTGAATCTGTTCATACAAACACAACGTGTATATATATATATATGATGATGATAGTAATCTCCGCTTGATGTCGGTTGGAGTTAATAACTATCCATATTGACCTCATCCAAACGATAACAAATTTAAACAACACCTGTCTTTACCTCATTTTCTAAATGCCTTAAACATACATTCAGTATCATGGTACGAAGTGGACTTTAAGACTTTATCTTAAATAGGCGTCAAATTCAAACACTTAAGTTATGTAGACTCAGACATGATCTACGCCTTATGTCTTATCCCACGTTCAAAGATAACACAACGAATTGGTGTTTTTTTTTATATCAGTAATACTGTACATGTAGGTGCATGCTAACCAACAACACAATATTTAAAAAAATTAATGCGCGAAAAAAAATTGATTTTATTTCTATCAGAAAAAAAAAAGATTTTAGTTCTATCGTTGACATTGGTTTTTATTTATCATCAAATAGTTACAAATGGACACAGATGGTTTGATAACATGTAGATCAAAACTATGATCATCAGAAAAAATACAAAAAAAAAAAAAAAAAAATGAAAAAGAAGATACCGACATGTCCCAAGTCAAACTCAAAGTCGATAAAAGATAAAAGACTCCCGGAAGAGTTCGACAAGATGTTCCGATAAGTTAAGCGTTTTCTGCTTAATCGAAGACATCCGCCATCTAAACCAAGGTCAATCAAATTTATGGCATGTTCTCCAATGAGACCCATGTCAGCAATCTGAACGAAATATCTCAACTTGAGATTTCCTCAAGCCCAGATTTTCCTCAGTTAATATCTCCTTGAAAATATCTTGTATGAAAATTCCTCAAGGAATTTCAGGACATCCTAGCCGATGCCTTCCTCCTGTTCCTTGAGAAAATTTTATACAAGCCGTTTTTGAGGAGATATCAGTTGAGGAAAATCTCGACTTGAGGAAATCTCAATTTGAGATGTTTTATACAAGTGGGGCCAGATATATTAACGCGCATCACACACCCCCAGCTTTCAAGGCTTACTTACATTACATATATATATATATATATGTGTGTGTGTTATTTTGAATATACATACTCTGCAGTATTGACTCAATGTTACTATTTTTAGAAACATAATTAATGTTCTCTTTATCGTAAAATTTCAGCTGCCAAATTGAGTGTAGTTTCTTTTCGAGACGTTTCAGGTACATAATTACTTACCATAAAATCACTTACTTGACGTCATAAAGTCTGTATCTATTGGTAGGCTTTTATAACGACTAAAGTCATGGTCAATATCTGTTTCTCGTGTTCATATAATCCCATATCCACCTCAATAGAAGTCAAGTATTGATAATTGACTTTCACATGAAATACGGCACTGACACGTCATATCGATTTTAAAATCGATTCTGCCTGATAAGATATATTGCATTGCTATTTGTACATGTAAAGATCCGTACAGAGACATAACTCTAATAAATTAAATTCAAGTGATATTGATTTTGTTGTTATTTATTATTTATTAGTACTAAGCAATGCGCGGTAAACATGTTACAGTCGTATTGTTCAGTCTATAATTAGAAAATATCAGATATCTGAAATAACGTAAATAATTAACACTACACACATGTAACAGTCAGTCCCAAAGCTTTGTTGATGTCTATAATTATGATATACTCCATATCGATTATTTTTTGTTTGTGTTTGTACTTAAGCTGTATACAAGTTTTATTCCATTGTTTACCTGGTATATCTAGGCTTTAAGAACAGAAATTTTCAAATATAATGCAACAAAAATAATTTCAAGTATGATATGTATGTATGTATGTATGTATGTATGTATGTATGTATGTATGTATGTATGTATGTATGTATGTATGTATATAGGTATTGTATGTATGTATGTATGTATGTATGTATGTATGTATGTATGTATGTATGTATGTATGTATGTATGTATGTATGTATGTATGTATGTAAGTAAGTAAGTATGTATGTATGTATGTATGTATGTATGTATGTATGTATGTATGTATGTCTATTTCTCTCTCTTTCTCTCAAATCGCACCATACATTATGATATAAAATTTCTTTTCTTACAAAAATAAATAGATAAAAATCAGTCATACATTATTACAGTTGTATACTTGCATCTTGATTACGATCCATCATCACGTTTTAAATAATATAACAACTTGAGAAAAATATGTCCCCAAATGCTTAAAACGGTCAGTGACACTATGTTCTAAAGCTTTATCACATGTCTGCGACAAATCCTTAAAAACACAGAAGTTAAATATTATTTAAAACCGTACATTGTATTCAGGACATCCTTACCTTTGTAAAGACAGAAATACTTCCAGAATAACATCCAAGGGAATGTATTTTTGAATGTTGGATTAACTCTACACCATCCTTTAATGTACCGGACACTTAATGCTCCGCTCGTGAACACCGGAGGTACAGACTGGCATGAAAGTCGTTTGTTGTGATGCTGTAGCTAGCAGATAGAGCGAATTCCTACGGTACCACTAACATGGTTTGGGATAGGCAAGACTTGCCAACCTGTGTCACATCTACGCTGACCTGCTGGCTGTACCCCGAATCAATAGAACCTAAGGGAGAGAAAAAGAAGTCCCTTGTGTCGTCTTGTCGTTCCTACGTTGATAATAATATCAATACATATACAATGCAAAGCTTATCGGTGTGTTATCCATTTGCCCTATAGACAGAGAAAGATAACGAGACCGAGGGAACCACAGGTAAAAACCCCTCTCTGATACAGGCATGCCAACCCAACCTGAGTAATAAAATAAATACAACAAACAACACAGATAACACCCTAAGGATATTGAATTGGACTTAAATGTCCGAACTATTGGCCAATAAACATACTTGTGTGGACATCTTGATAATGATGACAAGTATTACCGCTGTTTTATTTGATAGATAGGGCATTGTTTTGAAATTTGTTTGATTTTCTTTTGGGCATGTTTACTCGGGCATTGGTGTTAAGCTTTTATCAGACATATCAATAGAGACACCATGTTGGCATTTTCATTTTTGCTTTGATATAAGTGTAACTAAAAAACATATATAAAATGATACGACCGGGAACAAAGCTATAAGGGGCCAGGATAGCGTGATCCTACACAACTGAAGTGAAAACCCGAGGTGCGTGGTTGGATGTTCCCTAACCGTGGCGGATTGCGTTTCAAAGGAAGTTGAGAAACGGGTTATTCTCTGCAGGCGTGTCTGTATGCTTGGGCAAGACACTTTACCTTGATTAAATTAAATATATTCTTTAATGTTTTGGATGAAATGTGGCGTGCCTCCCAAATGTTGTTCCATGAGGTAACGACAAGCAAATGTAAGAAGACCCTGACACAAAAGGGCTATTGCTGTTTGCAGGACGATGAACCTCACATATAGGCAATTTAATGCTTTGTTTTGAAATGTTGGTATTTTCTTGCTTTTTTTAATGAACGTTGATAAAGCTGAACAAGACAGACAATACTTCATCTCTTTATCATAAAACAAAAATGGCCTCCTCAGACGTTTAAAACATCGTCTTCTTGAAGTAAAATCCCATACGATAATTTCTCGAGTGAATATTTCCTTCCTTTTTAATGCCAGGATCCATCTTAAAGTTTATGTTCGAAAAGAGTTAATGGTCAGAGAAATTAGACGAGTGCGTTAAAATAAGTAAAATAATGTATTTATGTGTGGGAGGATGTTATAACACTGATATCAGGCTTGTCACGTGATGGGTGTTATAACAATGATACCAGGCTTGTCACGTGATGGGTGTTATAACACTGATATCAGGCTTGTCACGTGATGGGTGTTATAACACTGATACCAGGCTTGTCACGTGATGTGTGTTATAACACTGATATCAGGCTTGTCACGTGATGGGTGTTATAACACTGATATCAGGCTTGTCACGTGATGGGTGTTATAACACTGATACCAGGCTTGTCACGTGATGTGTGTTATAACACTGATATCAGGCTTGTCACGTGATGGGTGTTATACTGATAACAGGGTTGTTATGTGATGTGTGTTTTTATACTGATAGCAGGGTTGTTATATGATGTGTGTTATAACACTGATATCAGGGTTGTCATGTGATGGGTGTTATTATACTGATAACAGGGTAGTTATGTTATGTGTGTTATTATACTGATAACAGGGTTGTTGTGTGACGGGTGTTATTACATTGATAACAGTGTTGTTATGTAAGAGGTGTTATTACAGTAATAACAGGGTTGTTGTGTGACGGGTGTTATTATACTGATAACAGGGTTGTTATGTTCTGTGATATTACATTGATAACAGGGTTGTTATGTGATGTGTGTTATAACACTGATACCAGGCTTGTCACGTGATGGGTGTTATTATACTGATAACAGGGTTGTTATGTTATGTGTGTTTTATACTGATAACAGGGTTGTTATTTGATGTGTGTTATTATACTGATAACAGGGTTGGTATTTGATGTGTGTTATTATACAACTGGGGTTTGACCTCCGAACGACGTCATCGTGGCTTTCATTCCATACAAATCTGAAGGATACCAAGCATTTCTAGGAATATATAAATGTTCAGATTTTAATCGCGGGTACTTGCAAAGATATCGTTAGCATAATAATTTACGTTGAATTGCTATTTGTGTTAACTCAAAAAATCAAATATAGAGCATAGAAACAACACGCAATGATTTGCCGAATATTGCTATAGAAATAAAGGTGTTTGAAAGCACTCACACTTATACCTTAATCAGGGTTCATTGGGCCTGAGCTGAGCATCCTTTTTAAAAAGTCTATTTTGTTAACTATGTAAACATATAACAAAACCACTACGATTATAAAAAGAAGAAATTCGACAAAAGTCGGCAAAGCTACCCTTACTACGTTCTCAATACTTCAGGGGTTATGATCACGTTCGCTCTCTGCATCTCTGGAACATGTCACAGCAAAATGGGAGGCACAAGCGAAGCAATTTGATTGGTTCCAGAAGAAAAAATCTGACCAATCACAGGCGGATTCGCTCCTTTCAAGATTGCAAAGGAACAACACCCAACTTCAATAGAATAAACCGTTATGCATTGTCGAGATTCGTTTAATGTATATGAAAGGATTAAAGTAGTCTACTTATTGGCAATGATTTGCTGGAGTGCGTTTGTCTCGAAAGTTGTAGACGTCGGAGGATGGCTGGCATACATATTTTCTCGGCAGGAGGTTGGCGGGAAGTCGTGACAAATCGGGAAACCCAATGGAGGTGACGAATGTAAAGGCTATGAGTTATTAAACATCCGCATACCTATGCATGGTATTGGACGTGACAATGCATGATTCAAACACCAGGATTATCGGCCTTGATTCTTATCACAGCATTTCCAACCTTTTGAACAATCAATGTATCCTTCCGAGGGGAACGTTTCAGTTCCAACCCTGGCACGTTGTTTCCGAGCGATTTCGGATCGCGCCAAGCAGCGTTGTAACAGTAGCTTGTAAAGTCTACACTTCCTCTGCAATCGATATCATGGTTTTCAAAAATATATTTAGCGGTCGTTGCGTTGTAGGTAACGTATCCCATTTTAAGTACACAGAAGGAATAACAATGTAGATGAATAGGATGGGCTTCAACATTTCCTCTTCCCATATTAAACGGAACAAACTGCACGACATCATTGTGTGCATCTGTGAGTGATTAGGTATCTACATGTTTTATCCTCACCACAGTCTACTTTGTCGCACGTCGTCTAGATCTCGAAGGGTTGTGTCACAGCGGAAACACTGGGATCTTTAGATTCCGTTGATTGAGGACAATTTTCTTGTAATTAAGAAAATAATCTTTAGATGTATCTGCAGATACTAGTTCTAGTGCAGGATCGTTGTTCATTGCTGACTTCAAAAAATTAAATCTTATGCAGTCAATATGGTCACCTAATGGATAATTTGTAAAAGGACAGTTGACGACCAGACATCTGTTTGTCGTGTACAAGATCGCCTAACAGTGCTAGGTCTACCTCTGGACTGATGGGTTCTACTCGATGCAATTTAGTTTCAAATGTTTCTGCCCGTATCCAAGAGATTGAAATGCTCTGATTGGCTGTTAAAACAATATCAAATGGTTCTTCAGGATTTGTTATAAACGACTCGGGCCTCGTTAGGTTTGACCATCTGATGCAACAAGTATCAAAGGATGATCGTCTACTGATACTCTTATACGATACATGCCACCTACATTAATGACCCGAAATCTAAACGCTTGTCCTTGAACCACTGAAAACGCTGACAACGGGACTACATTGCTTTCTCCTGTCGTTGTGTTTTTGTAGTAGCGTCCTCTACCGTTTACAAGAACGGAAATAGCATGAAATGGATACACCATCCACAGATCACAGACCATATCTAATCATAAAGTGGTACATATCGGCGCCTAAGAAATGGTTCTAATCCTGAACTGTCATTATATGTTCTTTCATTGTCTTGTCTAATAACCAAAGTCCCATTGATCGCCTTCGTCCGCTAGTTACCTCCATGTGAATGATACCAGTAACTTCCGGATTGGTCAACTGTGAAGTCATACGTGACCTTCTGTCCGGAGAGGATTGGACACTGTGAAACAAGTGGTTCCTTTCTGGTGAAGACCATGCCAGTGGTAAATGTATCTAAATAAAGCTTGTTGGTGACATGAACGATCAAGTGCTACCGCTACAATTATCGGAGGACCAGAAATAGTTTAATTAGTGACGACTACGAATCTGTTTTCCTCCCAGTCATCAGCAGTCATAGCGTCATCTGGGAGAATGGGTGTAGCCTTTGATGGGTCAACTACGTCATGTCTGCTGATTTTGACGTTGTAAGGATATACTTGTATTTCAACATTATGCATCATCGCCTGTTTCTATTACCAAGGTTGTTTCACACACAGAGGCTGTTTTATCACACTCGAAACCTAGGCTGAAGGTTATGGTCCTACCAAAGACAATAAGGAAGAAAACCTGTCAAACACGAAATAACAATGAAATACAAGAATAAACTTATGTATGAAATATTCAGCTTCCTTGGACGAATCGATCGGATGATTAAAATGCAATATTTGCCACAAACCCTGTCAACTGAAGGCAGCAATGATAAATGATGTTTTTAACTTAAGGAAATGAAGAAATTGCTAAATGCTCGGTTTGTCATAAATTCTTGTAAAGATACATATATATGTTTACTGTTACTTAATTCATTGACTATAAAAATCAATTCATTTTGTATACCAGTAATAAATCATCAGCGTAGATGCACTTCGAAATGACAAAAAATTACATTAACAAAAAGAATATACCAACATGTTAAATGAAATACGATCCAAACTCAAATTCAATAAAACTATAGAATACCCATCTACCCGAAGCAAAACTGAAAAAAAGAAAGAAAAAACCCACGGAGACAAAAATGCAATGAAATTAAGACCATGTGTTCCCAAAGAGTGTGTAAGCGTCTTCTGCTTCATCGATGACACCTGCCATATAAGCTTTGGTCAATCCAAATAAGTTATGTCACGTTCTCAAAAAGAGAACAAGGTATACATCAAAATTAAAGACGTCACACTTCATACCATAAAAGAGTATTTCTCAATGAGATCACTATGATGAAAGTAAAACTTCCCCGTTATTTTCATCAACCTGCATCTTTTGAAATCCTATGTTATGAATTTGTGCGTCTTTTCATAAATGCAAAAGGGGAAATGACGTTGTTATATATAAACTTAAAGTATTTCACAAATCACTTAGGTTCATGGATAATTCTTTGTGTGAAAATGTATGCCGAATAACCTGTCACTATGTTTCGTTTCTGGATAGATTCAATTTAGACCAAATACCGTCGCCACCATAATTTCATTGC